TTTGATTGTTACTGAAATATTGACTTGGTTTATTGGAGATTTGTCTGCATGGGAGTTGCATGTCAGTTTTTATTTAGTTCTGCTTCAGTAATTGGAAATAGTTCCCATATATCCGACTCTGTAATGGCAAACTCTGTGCAAATGTTTTGGTCTAGGCTTCCTGTTGACCTGCAGTTACCAGTTTTTCTTCTTTGCACGGATTCCAGACGGCTAAAGTTAGGTTTATGGGACTGTGAGTAACAGAGGTGGAAAAAAAGAAGGCTGGAGCATAAGGGTATAATGCCAGAAAGAAAAGGAATAGCTATATATTTTTGACAGGTAGGGGAAATTAATGGCTAAGCACTGTTGTCAAAGGTAGGCTTTTTTACATCTGCGTGCATACCATAAACAAGTTTAGAGTTAAATGGATTCCGTAATAATTATGTGCCAAATATCTTGCAGCAGAAAATGGTACTTAGCAGTTCTAATGCTGCACTTAGCCCCAGGTGGGCTGCAGGAACCTGTGTGGGAACCAGGCACAGTGATCTCCATTAAATATGTTCATTCTTCCAACATCAGACGTTTCCACATGACCGACACTAAAGAATTTACATAATCAAACCTCATGTGAGTCTAATGAGGGGGATAAATCCTGTTGCTCAAAGAATACACATATTATTGTGGGTTTCAGTGCTGTCACAGAAGTTTAATGGGTTTGGGAAGCAATGTGATCGATTTGACTCCTGTGGATGCTGGTACAATGTGACATGACCACTATAAACAAAGACCACTAATCTCTACGATTATACTATTTTATTTTATAACATAACAGGTCTTGCTCTTGCAAATTTGAATATGTACCTGCATTAATTTCTGTGCCTCTTTAGAAATTTAGAAGAGTAAAACATACAGACTTAACTATGCAACCTTATTTTTACTGAAGCTAGAAGCTGTCGGCAACAGTCAACTTTACTTTTGTCCTGGCTTCAAACTTATGTTCTTATGTGTAAGTGAGAAAACATGTTTAAAAATATTCTAGAAAGAAATGTATACCTCTGTAGCTGATATTAAGAATTCCTCTAAGTAGCAACCTTATTACATTTTGAAAGAGGCCTCGGATACAGGTCATGGAGGTCCCATATAGTGTTCACCCTTTAGGGTTTAGACTGAACAAAATATAGCAAGCCCAAGGGCAACCATTGAATGAGCAATCAAATCAGCTACACAGGCTGATTTAGTCTGACCCAGATCACCTCTTACTGTAGGATTAATCTCTCCTTCAGTCACTGGCACCCTTTTTCTCAGCAGGAATTTCTTCTTTCAAGGCTTTTCCTTAAATGAGTTTCCAGCATTCCACCATTGTGAGCATGTGGAGGCAAAAGCTTCCCCATGTCCCTTCATGAAACCCTTCGGCAAGGCAATTACTCCCAGATAACCTTTATCGCACTAAACGCTAGTATAGTGCTTTTTCAATCTGTGAATTCAAGCAGACTTTTTGGAAACACAAATATTACGGTCTCACCAATGTGCTCACTTGTCTATTCAAACAAATGAGGCTTTATAGCAGGGATCCAGCTGTTTCCATTACCAAATAGGCCAAGAATGTAGCAAAGCATATGTTGTTTTCAGCAGATGCCACATGTTGTCTGTGATGGTAAGCAAACCAACAACTAAATGCTAACATTAGTTCATGCACATGAGAACCTAAAGATGGCATATGCTGACTATGAGCCACAGTGCAAATGATGGTGTGGTTTTAAATCCTGGTGGGAACATTTTTCTCTAGTCCCAGTTTCACAGAAGGCCAATACCACATTAAAGCCCTCCCAACTATTACAAAGCCGTCCAGCTTGGTGCTCCATATGAGAGTCTGCCATGGAGCATGAATACGTCGCTTAAGTGGACTATAATTATTTTATTTAGAACAATAGACATGCAGTTTTGTTGCAACTCTAATAACACCTACCTGTTGTGACTCAGCAGAGGAGGTGACTCTGTACCCAAACACAGTGGAAGCAAATTAACACTGAATAAATGAAGTCTTTTTTTTATCCAAAAACCAAAGATGTTGTGATAGAAATCGAAAAGATACAGAAAACTTTACCAGATTTCAATTTACATGCTCATCCAACCTGTTTTAGTTTTTAATATTCTATTCTGTTCTCATAAGGAAAAGTCATTCTCCATTTTGATCTAAGGCTGAAGTTTTATTTTTAGAGTATTACTTCTAAAAAGAGATGTCATGTTGGGATTTCTTAGACAAAAATGTTTCACTTCTTTTGGGGGTTGTTTATTTTTTTATACCTAGTTATGTTACTAACTCTTTGCCTCTCAACTCGCCATGCCTTTTTTAATTTAAATCACTTCTTTTTTTTGTCACAGATTAAGGGCAGTGAAGTGGTGAAGGGATGGATGCAGGAGGAAAACAGAGTTATTAACAAGAACAACAAAAGGCACAAACTAAACTGGGAATAAACCAAAAAAGTATAGAAAGTAACAAAAAACAAGGAACTCACTGGGACAAAGATAGGGAAACACAGCTAGAACAGACAGGTGGAATCAAGTCACCATGATGACATTAACAAGATTCCAACAGTAGTAAAGATGAAGATCTTACAAGGACTGACCAGTTAGAGACTTTTCATAGAGGGGAGTGTAATTAGTGCAATGAAAGCCTGGTGACAGAGAAACACAGGTGAAGGGAGTTGAGAGATGATGGGAATAGGAGGGACCTGAGGGAAGTAAAGTAACTGAGTGTCTCAAGAGGAAGACACAGCAAACATAGTAGAACAAAAGAAGAAATACAAGGAAACTAGAAACCCATCCATCCATTATCGTGATCGCTTAGTCTCTAATGGGGTCGCAGGGGGCCTGGAGCCTATCCCAGTAACCAGTGGGCGAGAGGTGGGGTACACCCTGGACGGTCCGCCAGTATATCGCAGGCCCACGGAAACTAGAAACCAATACAGAAATCAAAGTAAAAGAACCAAGAACATAAACCACAGACTAAAATGAAACACAGAAAACTAAAGCATGAAAAAACAGAACAAAGAAACAAAAACAAAATTCAGCACATCCCATTTCTTTTGGTCCATTTTGTTTAAACTTTTCAGAATGGGAAATGTTGCTATCATAAAATTAAGATTAATTTCAAGAGCATGCTTTTGGTTTTTGTAAAAACATTGAATATGGTATTTTCTGGGGACATTCTCTGTTATTATGTCTGTACCCGATGCATCATCAAATAGAAAGAAATGATGGTCTGTTGTGATTCTGTTTATAGGCTCTCCGGAAACAAATTGTCAGGGATGTAAGAGCTGTGAAATTTCACGACTTGAGAATCTGATAGTATTTTTTGAAAAGCTCTTTCCAACTTTGACAAGTGAGACCTTGTGAGAAGCAGGTGTTATAAAAAGAAAAAAAATGTGAATTATCCAAGCGTGAATGAACTCAATGGGATGCTCAAGTACTAATGACATGAAATGATATTCCCGGTTGATCTGTCAATGACTTTGCACTTTCCAAACATGACGTGTGAAAGCCTGATTCTTCCGGTGTTTTATTGTAAATGATAACAAAAAATCCACTCATAAGTCTTTGAGCAATACAGCAAAATTTTACATTAGGTGCTATTTCATGTAAACCAGCAGCTACTGTTTATCTCTCACTGTGTTATCACACCCCACACACACACACCAGCAACTACCAATGAAAGATTCATAGAGCCACGATGATGAAGGAGCCTCCTCTTCTGCTCCACTTACCACGGTGGACAAATTCTGCCATGCAACCCACTTACACACCCCATGCATGCACAAAGACACACGCACACACACACACACACACACACACAGCCATAAGCCCAGACCTGTTAAGAAAGAGGGGCAGAGCGAAGCACACAGCTCTGGGGTACTTACTCACCCTTAACCCCTTCAGACGTGGGCACACTGAAAAATCCTGAGGCCACTTGTCTATCAAGAGACTGATGCTGGAGACTGTACTCGAGGCTGTCTGGTATAGACAGTGAGTGTGTGCTTAAGTATGTATATATGTGCGAAAAATATCTTTATTTTTGCTGTGTCTCATGGGCCTGAGAAACGATTTTAATAGAGAAAAAAATCAAGAAATAAAACAAGACAAATGCTGAAGGCAAAACATTATCAAGCCTTCGCTGTATAGCACATCTCTGTAATCCATGCAAGTCATGATCAAGGTTTGGCTATTGGCTTTAGAAGAGGAAAATTTACCCGGTTCATTGCAGCAGAGTTCCTGTATTCCACTGATGAATAGAACCTTCACCCTAAAAGCAAATTTCTTTTTTTTAGATTTTATTGGTTTTTAATTCATATAGGGGGGTAATTGTGGTTGTGAACACACAGTATTACATAAGTTAACTCCCTAACGATGTACAAAGCTGTTAATATATGCTTATTCTGATTTGACAAAAAAAATACTATTTAGAAATCATTAACGTATTGGTCAGAATGTTGATGATGTTCATAGTTTTTAACTTTTGTTGTAACATTGTTAGGAAGTCATATTCAGGTATAACATATATAACACAATATGTCTGAATAAACATTGTTCTTGGACAGCATCCAAGAAGTAAATGTTGTTGCTAAATTTAAACTAAATAGCTTTTATTGTGTTTCCTGTGCAGAATACTTGTGTTGTTGTTATTGTAAGTTGTGTAAAAGGGTTCTAAGAGGTAATAAATATTCTATGAAGACATATAAGTGGCACACAAATACACACATTCTATAAATAAGTGGACAGTTTTCTCTCTCACACACTATTATATCATTTGTGAAATGCTGTGTATCTATTTAAAACAGAGAGAGAGAAATTGCTCATCACAGTCGCTGATGCCATCTTGTTAGATCCCTTTGATTCAGGTTATGGTGTTTCATTTCAACCTCTCTTTCACCTCTTATTTCAGATTCGTTTTTTTCATGAAAGTATATGTGAAATATGTAGCATGTTAAATAACAAATGTATGGAAATGTATGAAATATATCTAAATGAGTCATCCTGTGTCTTTACCAGGTGAACATTTGCGGATGTGTCCTCAGGGACCAACCTGCTGTACCAGCGCCATGGAGGAGAACCTGGCCGGTTTGAGCTCCCAAGAGACAGAGGGGCTGATCAGAGAGGCTGGCAGAGCCCTACAGGCTGCTTTAAACGCACTCCATAGGGGCTTTGACAGTAAGTAGGGTGTGTGTTTGTGTGTGAGTGCATACAAACACTCATTACCGCCTCAGCTCAAATCTTCAGAAGCGAGCCCATACAGTGTGACATTTCTATCTTGTGTATATATATATGAGGTTGTGTATGTGCTCAGTGCAGGTTCAGAAGCAGTGTTGAGTGTGTTGGTTGATGAACGGAAGTTTGTGTGTGTCCTTTGCAACAAGGGGACCCCTGACTGGGTGCTATAATGAGAGCAGAGTCAGCCAGACGCAATGAAATGTGATAAGCCAAACCCCTGATCTCAGGGGAAATGCACACACACTTGCATTCATTCACACACACTCACAAACAGAGGGGTGTCCCCCGGGGCAGTGGCTAGTTCAGCTAATGAGCAGTTGACCCACTGAGGAGCTGAGTCTGCAGATCACTGCACATAAGACAGATACAGGAATGGAGGGAGGAAGGAGACGGAGAAGAGCCATCGCAAACAACATGGGAGCAGACAAATGCAGCAAGTGAGAAAGTGTCATTAGTACTGAGATGAAACTGTGAGTCAAAATATAAAAATATACGCAGAGGGAAGGAGATTGGAAGCAGGATGAGGGAAATATTATGAGTTTGAAGGCAGCACGCCACCTCAGTAGCAGTAATGTGTCCCTCCATCTGGTTGTGGTTAGAACAGGCTGGCGCTGGTCCATGGCCCCTTAAAGCTTGAGAGTAAAGCCCGGACAATTATACTACAGAGACAGCTTTCTTGACAACCTTCTCCTCCCAGTATGATCTCTCTGTCACTTGAATTTTTATTTGGCCGAATATAATTCAGAATTGCTTTAAATAAATCAGCACTATGTCTGAAAATTAAATGTTGGACGGTATTGAACTGCCACAACATTTAGCTTCACATGGCCGTAAACGTCCTTAAACTATTTGATGTGTTATAACAATTGTGACTTTTCTATTTATTAAACGTGTGTTTCAAAATAAAATGATGGAGGACTAAATAATATATACAGAGCACCACACGTCATTTTCTGAAAACAACATTTAACATTTGGAGACATAATAAGCACTTAAGAGAAATCTGACTCTCGTAAAAGGCTTGTATGTTATTAAACACATCATTTTTCAGCGGGCTACTTCTATGAATTCTATGAATTTGTGCTAGTTTTCTGTATCAAACTGAAAAGAGCCGAAATGCCTTACCTAACTGAAAGACAGGTGTGTTTGTTGTTGCCTAACCATCATTTGAATATTTGACATAAGAGTAACAAAATTATTTTTGCCAACTTTAATATTTCCATTCTTCCTTATCTGTATTTTTTAACCTCCTGATAAAAAAACTAACTTATTCTTAGAATTTCTAACCTGCTGGTATGGCACCCTGTTTCTCAGACCCAGTAATTACCAGTTACTGTAATGGGCAAGCCTGGTCTCCATCACTCACATATCTTACTGGATACATATCCCTTAGCCTCTCCTTGATCTGCGTCATGTCCTGGGGTTTTCTAATTGTAGAGAAAACCTGACCACAAACAACTACTGGTTTCTGTTTTAATGGGACGTCCACATTTTTTCCCCCCTCTTTAAAGTCAGCGAAGCCATGTTAATCTATAGCCAGGTTGCTGCGATACACATGGGTTTCAATCCTCTCTTCTCAAATTGTGTAGCCTAACTAAGAATTCTGTGACTGTGAAGCACTTTTCACATAGAACAAACTAATTCAGCTCTTTTTATTTCCATCATTTGGGCAATTTAAATGCAATACAGATACTGACATTTTCAATTTAGCAAGTAACGAAACAGAATGTACATTGCTTGTCTGTGTGTGCTACACCAAACATCCAGAAACGTATGTATACATTTCATGTCAGCAGCTGTTCAATTATTACCTTAACATTTGATTTGGTCACTTTTAGGATATCTTTTTTATCTGAAAGGCATTATGATGTAGTAAAGGCAGTCGACTCTCTTATATGCAAAGAATTGTGTGAGAATAAGAATTATTCCTTCACTACCTTAGAATAAGCAAGTTACATCTAAATGTACCATGTTTGGTCTTGTGTGTCTTCGGGCTATGCTGCATTGCCATCCTTTTGCAGAAGCCCTGATGTAACACAACAAAATACTGTCTGTTGACCTGGCAATTGAGTTCAAATTTGTGCCACTCGATATCACTGCATCATACTCACAAGCAGTTGCCTACGGTAGCATTTGCCTCGCCCTTTAAACGGACCGGCAGAAGTGCAAACTCTTGTGGTTAGGTCTGGACAAAGTACTGAAAGACTTCATGATCAACATTTTTAGAATATGGTCAAAATACAAAGCACTTGAGCAAACTTTTCTGTTGTCTTTGCTTCAAATAATCAACAATCATTGATATTTTGGTGGCTTAACATGTTCTTTTATGTTCTTCTATTAGAACATTTTTATTTTCCTGTTAATATGTGATGTCTGTTTATATATGTTGAGTTTGAGTTTTTTTAGGCCTGGTTTTCCTAAAGTTCTAAATCTCACGTCAGAGGACAGTTTGGCCACAGTTACACAGGAACTGAGAAAGCTCCACTTTCATATAATACAAAATCAATAGGGAACAATGAATTGTTTTTCCATCTGATACAGGTGGAACTAAATTGCTCTCTTACTCAGAGTGAAAACACGACACTGAAGCTTGCATGTCAGACAAAATAAGTCATTTTGCCAATTTTGGGGGCTAAACAGTTGAGTCAAATGCAGCTACCCAAATGCCCCTTTGGATTCTTTTGTTTAAACCAAAGTTAAATTGTGCTTCAATTTGCAGGCTGCCTAAATTGTGTCTCCAAATAACTGTTTATGTTGCTGTCTTTCTGTTGCTGACTGAAGGTTCTCCTGTCAACTGTACATTATATCAACCTCATAAGGCCATGATTTGTCAAACCTGTCCTTGACTGGTCCTCTGTCTTTTCTTCCTGTATGGTCCTTCACACCCTCCAGCCTATTTCACTGAGCTGCATGGGCATTCGGAGCGCTCCCTGCAGGATGTACTGTCTCCACTTGGCTCCCTGTACTCTCAGAACACCCGTCTGTATGGAGACCTCTTTGCAGACCTGCGTCGGTATTATCGAGGCTCTGCTCTGAACCTGGACGAGAACCTGTCGGACTTCTGGTCCCGCCTGTTGGAGCGAACCTTTAAAACCTCTACCCCTCCAGATGTGAGTCATCTGTTTTGCTGGATGTGAAATTTGCTATGTATAGAATGAAACTCAGTTAAAAAAACAAACAAAAAAGAACAAGGATGTAATAGTGTATGTGTGTTGGAATAGTTCTCCAGGTTACCGCATGTTAGACAGGAAAGTGTTAATGCTCAAAGCTTCAACCGACATAGTTCGAAGATGTTTTTTTTTTCCTGTCCTGCTTCTTATCCAATTGATAAAAAGACACAATCTAACACAATATGCTGCTGGTTTTATTTTTAAACCAAATTATACTCAGAAATGCAACCTAATTTCCATACGATTGTCAAAGATGAAAAATCTGTTTGTCTTTTAATAGAAAGCAGAACGTCATATTTGTGCTCCATTAAGCCGGCTGCTGTCATCCCTTTCTGACAGGTCAGTCTGTCAGAGGATTACCTTGAATGTGTTGCTAAGCAGCAGGAGACGCTGCGGCCATTTGGAGACATCCCTCGGGACATGAAGGCGAAGGTGATCAGGGCTTTTGTCACAGCCAGGTCTTTTATCCAGGGGCTGTCAGTCAGTGCAGATGTGGTCAGGAAAGTCTCACAGGTGAGTGTGTGTTGCCAGTATTTTTGGAAAAATATCAAATTAACTGTCTACCAAATATTATCAAATTAACTGTCTGCCATAACATCATTTGGAAGAATCATAAAACCAATGTCCTGTAATCGGTCTGATTTTAAGGTCTTGGTCCATGTTTTCCTCCATAAGTGCCTCAGTTTTATGTTTTTCTTCTATTCTTTGTGGTCACATGGATTTTCTTTACATATCCCCCCTCCTATAAGGTTTTATCCCAATTCAATTTGAAGTTAAATCCCATGGAAGGTTAAATCTATTTTACAGAATTCTTATAACTTATTGTCTTATGATTCAAAGTGTATCCGAAATATTGTGTGGTAATTTAAAAGTTCTGTTTCTGATTAACTCAAATATCTGTGCAGGTTCAACATTTTGTTAAAACTGTGTTATCAGTGACTGGGTTATAGCTATTACAAATCAGTTAAACTTGATAAGCAAATGTTAAACAGTTAACCAGTTTTGGTTTATGCAAACCAGTCAGTCTTTTCACTGAAAGGAGGGAAGGCCAAAGAAACATTTATTAGCTGGCTCAAATGTTGCAAATAAATTGTTTCCTGCATCCAGACATTTTTTCTAGTGATGGTTAGATAGCAGCATTGATTGAATATGACAACACAAATACAAACTGCTCCAGAGTATAAAAATTCTAGATAGGTTGCCATTGCTTCTTTGTTTATCCTGTTTCCAATTTCTCATAATGGGGCTACACTGCCCTCTACTGTCACTGTAGAGGAGAACCCCCTGCCGCTTCACAATAACCACATTTCCGCTAAAGTTTTTATGAATGTTTTCCTTTCATTAGTTAAATCTGTTATTCACCTACTACAGGTTTCTCTGGGCCCAGAGTGCTCGAAAGCCCTAATGAAACTGGTTTACTGCCCTCACTGTCGGGGCCTGGCCTCCGTCAAACCATGCTCCAGTTATTGCTCAAACGTGATGAAGGGCTGCCTGGCCAACCAAGCTGACCTGAATCCGGAGTGGCAGAACCTTATAGGTGAGACACATAACAAATTGGATGATTCCCAAAAGGAAATCCTCTTAGACAAAGGTTTTAAAGAAGAATGCTGTTTCTATTTTTCTACTCTGAATAAAAAAAGATGGCAAAACCTACAGCATAAGCAAATAAACGTACACACACCATACAGTTAACTATCCATACACTTGTAAAGTGGAGGTTTCAGTTCTCTTTTTCTCTTTGCAGATACAATGATCCAGGTGGCATCCAGTTTCAGCACAGAACCCAGTCTTGATGTGGTTCTCTCCTCTATCCCTGCTCGGATTTACGAAGCTGTCCAGTACCTGCAGGAAAATATGAACAAGTTCACTGCTAAAGTAAGATATATCATGTCTTCCATACTCATCTTCTAATTTCAACATTATTTGTTCTGTCATTAAGGCAACTGCAGGTTTATACAGATCTATCTACCTTTTTGAACATCACTGTCAATAGTACTGGTTGTCATGTGAAAGGCAACCAGCAGGTTAAGCATTCCTGAAGTTTAGAATTGTTTTTTGTGGTAACATCTAAAATAATTTTTATCATCCTCTTAAATGTGAAAAGCTTCAAATGAAAGTTTAGCTGCATGTTTGTGATTATTTTGTGTCTGGATCTGGGTCTTTGTAGGTGTACCAGACATGTGGAACTCCATTTGAATCAGGAACAAAAAGTCCCCCTCTCCAAGAAGAAAAGAAGAAAAGCAGCTCTCTGACTGCATTGAAATATAAACCCTCCCCAACAGCAGGAGTTAGACTAGAAATGCAGGTGTGTGGGGCAAATTCAGACATTATGCCACATAAACAAGCTCAGAGGACTAAATGAGGAATTCATCATTAGACAGAAAAATTCCTTGACCAGACAATTTTGACGACTGGCATCCGTCACCATCCATATGGAAAAGACAAATACAACATTACCTAACACTTTAATGCTTCTCATGTGCATGTTTTTCTTCTGTGCCATGAAGATCTAAAAAAGAAATAACTGATGGACTTCAAAAAAATAATTTGCTATGAATGATCGCTATCATGCATCAAGACAGGTGGGAAAGAAGCATCTTTTGCAATAGTGATGATCTATGAAATCCCCATCACGCACTTTTTAATGAGACTTAATGAAAATTCAGCATGTGCAATAATGGAACAGCTGTTTTAACAGCTTTTGACCTTTTAATCAGGGGAAAGACACTGATGTATGTTCTCATTACCATGGTTACCACGTGATTTGCATAAATATTTGCAGGTAAGTGGCTTATGGAGAGCAATTATAAGATTGCCCAATAAAAAGATTTCATGATCAACATTAGTGGAGTTTGAGTTGAGCTTTTAAAATTATTCTAATTTTGTATGCGGTTCATTTCCTTTGAGCCTCTTCAAATGACACAATCTCCTGATCAATAAAGAGCAGTGGAATTATTATGCACTTCACCTTCTTATGATTGAAAGACTTAGAAATAAAAAAATGTAAAAAAAAAGGGAATAGAAGATCCTATGAGCCTTTTTTTGTGCCTGTTTTCACAAATAATAAAAATAGGATTTTTGTAAATTTGTAGGATGTGATTGTAAGAAAACTGTCTGGGATCTTTGTATTGATTACAGGTCTCAGATCTTTCCAGTAAGCTCAGGGAAATGCGTCAGTATTGGGTCCAGCTTCCTGTGGCACTTTGCAGTAAACTGTCAGCAGGGCGCAACAGTCAAGACAACTGCTGGAATGGCATTACCAAAGCCAGGTGAGTGATGGTGAGACATGTAAAGAGAGTATGCAGCAAGGAAATAATTAGTCAAATAATGTTCTAAACTGCACACTTTCTTCTGTACAGGCACTGGAGTCATTTATTTTTTTAAATGTTGTAGTTACCTTTATGTTCTTCAAAGTATTCCATAGTCTGTTTTTCTTTTCTTTATATATCTTGTAGTAGCTAAGCCTGCTAACCATTTTATATATTGGGCTTTTAGGAAGTTACAAAAACATGCTTACAGTCCAATAGAAACTAAAGATCCAATCCCTAATTTAAAATCAATGGCAGTGTTGAATTAAACACTCAAGGTCAGATTTTTCATCAGTTCAGCACAGAAACATGATTCATTCCCAAGAAAAAGGACATGTTCTTTCACTCTATAACATGAAAACATGAAACAAGAAAAAAAAAAAGCAATTTAAGCTCTGAAACAAAAATGGCACTGAATGGAAAACATCCCATATTGCCGAATTTTTTATGGTGCATACACCAGTTCTTAAACCCTGATGACATTCACATTTTTCAGCCTAAGCTTCCAAGGCTTCACAAGCACACACTGCCACCCATGAGATCGGTGTGGATTATTGAACAGTTTGATGCCATATTAGTGCATTCATTATACAGCCACACACCACATCTCCCATGGATTAGTACCAAGCAATGACATTTATCCTGAGCAGAGGACTCAAACATGTATGGAATTTAAAAGAGGTGGAATATAAATGTTCCTCTGTGTGTCTAAATACTGTGAGGGTGGCCATGAAATATAGATGAATCACTGAAAATGTGTGACACATTGAAAAAATAGTCTCTGTGTGACATCATTAGTACGGTGACCTGTTTGAAACTCCACAGGGAAATCTCACCGATTTCAAAGAACTTAAAATAAGTCAATCTGAAATGGAAGGGGAAGGTTTTCTGTAAGTTATTGAGATAATATTGGGCTTTGAAGGCATGTATCCTGTTTTTTCTTAAGTTTTGTCAAAGAAAAAAGTCCATGGCCCTGGGATGGACTGGCAGACCGTCCAGGGTGTACCCCGCCACGACCCCATTTGGGATTAAGCTGTTCAGAAAATGGATGGATTGAACACTTGTTTAATCATCATTCAACCCACTCTGTTATTATTTGTGACATCACAAATCTCCTTTTCTCACCAGATACCTCCCAGAGGTAATGGGTGATGGTTTGGCCAATCAGATTAACAACCCAGAAGTGGACCTCGACATCACAAAGCCAGACATGACTATCCGCCAGCAGATCATGCAACTCAAAATAATGAGTAACAGGCTAAAAAATGCATTGGATGGCAACGACGTGGACTTCCAGGATGCAAGTGGGTCTCTGCCCAGTCATATTTACTGTAAAATGGGAATGTAAAGTAGCAGCTTACATATGCAACATCTTCTCTGCTCTCATTGCTCACCAGCCTGCAGCCTTACATGCATTTTATACTATATAGTCTCTACAGTCCAAATGTGTGTTTTTTGTGGTGTTCTGACAGTGTAAATGCTTTCCATTAGTCATATATGTGTTTTGATTAATGTAAACATGTAAGAGCATTAGAACGCTGACTTTAATAACTACCCTACATTCACCCAGCATGGAATAAACCAAGCACCAGCTCAGTGGCATGTTCTTTTTATTTTTAACATTTGATATAGCCTCTTTTCCTCTAGATGGCATTATATCCTACACATTGTCTCATGTAGTCCAATAATAACAAAATTACCAATTTAATAGGGGCCCACAGAAATGCTTCCTCGTCCAACTGACAGGAAGATATACATTTTTTATAATGAAGGATATTTGAATATATTTTTACTTTAATGGTTGAAAAACTGCTGTTTAACAAAAACTGATTCAGAAAAAGAATAGAAAATCTCACTCCCGTTACACCTTTGAAATAAAGTCCTATTTTGTGTTTTTTCTTTGATAACTGTACAGGTGACGACATCAGCGGCTCAGGGAGTGGGATGTGTGTAGGCGGCCACTGTCCCCGCAGCAGACCGGGATTGTATGCCTACCCGCCAGACAACAACCGAGTCAGAGGCACAGCCGCGTCGCAGCCTGGCATCTGCAGCCTTCTGCTGCTGCTTCCCCTGACCGTCCTGCTGCTTCAGCGATGATGGAACGTTGCTGTCAGGCTCTGAATGTCAGAGAGAGACTGAACTATGAGAAAGGGGCTTTGGTTGGTGAAAGACTGGAGCATGACTTTGGCAAAAAAAATTAAAAGGACAGAAACGGACATTTTGTTTGACTAACAGGAGCAGTGACGCTTATTTTTATTTTGCTGGGTTTCAGTATGTCCCGTCTTAGTTTCAGTATGATTTAGTATGTTGAAGGTTTTGTAGTTTCTTGGGATGAAGACGGATGAAAAAAGACTCAAATGAGTTACAGCTTTGATGATGAAGATGATTATGTGTAAGTAGCTCCAGTGTCCAGTCAGCAGGTGTCCTTATCCGTGGTGCATTCAGCAAGCCTTTTTTTTTGTATTCCATAACTTGAGTCAAGGTTGTCTACTTTAACAAACACTGTGTACACTGTAGACGTTTGTGAACATTACCTTAAAGACTGGCACCATAATAGGCCATGAATGTACAATATGATACTCTACTGGCAAAGAATGCACCATAATCTGTGTTGTAATTGTTCTACATGATCTGATACATTCAGTAGGAATTGTTCGTAGTGCAGATAAATCATCACACTCCTTAAATGAGACCTTATCTCATTTTTACATAAAAAAGAAAAAGCAAAAATGTCCACTTGTTTCGTAACTTCCCACATTTGTAAAGAAGTAAGTAGTTCAATGAAATTTCGTACAAACGAGCACACACAAGCAATTTTCGTAACTTTGTTTTTCTGAAAAGTGCACAGAATTCTTACTCCTCTGGTTGTACTAACCCAAAAAAAAACAACATAAAGAAAAAAGCTTCAGAGCGAGCATTTTATAAGACCAAAGTGCAAAGAAAGACATGAATGCATGTCTGTTTTTATTAACTAATGAAACACAGAATCTGATTACCTGTAACCTAAGGCTTAATACACTGAACATAAATTCACATTAAACAATTCCTAAAGTAAGCTGAACTTGTGACAAACCTTAACATGCATCAGTTTAAAAAATCTAAAGATTTTCCAGTCCTGAATCTTTCTGAGTGTCCATACATGCAGCATACTTTAAGAATTCTATCCACTTTTGCCTGGTGATGAATTGTTTAACGTGGCATGTCTTCTTTAATTCCACACTGCTATACTGGAACATATGGGACTCCTATTTTACACAAATGGCAGATTTGTTATATATAAACAACTCACTCTCTGGAACTGTGTATCAAGCTGGATTTTAATCATCACCAGTGTATTCAGTTGCACATTTTGGCCATTAAACTCTGTTTGATTGCAACAGAGGAACTGTGCCATGGACAGTTTTATTTAATTACTGTTGTTACTGCTGGTAAGGAACGTCTTGTGCCTTATTTTCAGTATTTTTCGATCGTGCACATTTACTGTGTCACAGCTGCATTCTTATCCTATTTTTTAACCATGGCTGTCTGTTTGGTTGACTGTTTGAAAGTTGATTTTTGTTGTTCTCTGCCTCTTCTTGTACCCTGGTACTATACTCCACTTTCTTGGCAGTGTCTCTCAAATAGCACTTAACTCTTTTCTCTGTTTATACTGAGGATTCCTCATATGAAAGATAATATTAGAGGTGAGCTGCCCATGTTGTCTTCTAAAACAACCCATTTTTATTGAGCACTTGTATTTTTTTCTGCACAGTAGTGCTACATGCATGATGCTCTGTGGTCACCAGATCCAGTTACATAAATGTCTCTTCCTTTTCACCATTTGGAGAGCCAGGTGTGATTCACTCCAAGATATCACCCCTGCAACTACATGAGATCCTATGATTTGTTATTTTAAAGCCTCGTCTTCCGGGCCATGTCACAGCTCTGTATGAAAATATAACTAGTTTCTCGTCTCATCTGGCTGTAATGAGAGGAAAGAAACACGACAACAATCCTACTCCCATTTAAGGTCTGAAGTAAATGAATGATTAACCTCCTGGATGTTGGTGCTTTTTAAAGCAATGTACAAGAAATAAATGGAGCACACAGGCACAGAGTTATCACAGACTGTGGAACAGTGTTGAATTTTTCAATTTCCAGGATTTACATTTATGGTCTGTGCAACATTCTTTTTGGCAGCTATGCTTGAGTCAGCTTCACTCTTCTGCATTATGCGTCTTTACTGAAAATGTGTCCTCTAATTGTGATGAATGTGCAAGAGAAAGCAGAATTTAAGATTTTTCACACTGACATGTAAGGGGGCAAATCATGGCAGCCACACAGCACCGTTGATTTTTGTGCTACTGTATCTAACCATGAAGAAGATAAATCGATGCTCAGCATAGTGTCTGACCCACCTGTCCATGATCAAAGTAGGCGCAACACTTTGAGTCCCTCGGGGCAGAGTCACCTCTTAATAATGAGGTGACTCAACTCCTCCTGTACAATTCAAAAGAGTAACCTTAACTTTGGAGACAGTTTAAATTTCTTTGCTCTGCTCATGTGGCAGCCAGAAGGTCTGCAATAAATTTTTAGGTCTTCACCGGAGGCCATAAGGATGTTTTTAACTGCCTCCAGCAGTCGACCTTTAAGATAAGAGGTAACTCCCTGTGCCTCTACTCACAGCTACCAGCAACGTGAACACTGAATATTAAAGGCTCCTGAGGAAAACGGATGCCATGAAGTCATAAAGCTGAGATTCTATGTTGAGAGACAGCAAAGAGGTGAAAAGGGTATAAAAGATATAAATGACTTAATGGAAATGAAAGCAAGAGAATAAAAAAAAAAAAAAAAGGCAGCCTGATATATAAGTTTATCCATGGTCATTATGGCTGAAAAGCTTTACACTGAGTTTTCAAGTTGCAGCTGTCATTAAATCTTTTAAGTAGCAGGGGGGAAACTAAATCAAGGACAACAAACATTCATTGCATAATAATGTTGTTTGTACGAACATTCATAAAAAGATAAATAGGACTCTGTTATAAAATGTTCCTTCAGATTTAAGTGAACAATTCCCAAGACAGTCACCCAACATAGTGCCTTTACAAATTGCTAACAAGAGAGCTTACAGACAAATGCAAAGTAAATCTTTGTGGGATGACTCATAAGACCTTTTAAAGCTCTGTGATAATCCAAGAGAGTGATAAACACTTAAAATAATTATTTTTCAGTTCACGTGAAGGTCTTCTGATCCACAAGTGGATTTGCAGGAATGGATTTGATTTGTTATTCTTAGGAATTAAGATTGAAATAGAAGAGTTTAGAAAACAACAAAATGTTTTACTCTCCAGTGTTTGGGTATGGTCTTTATCCGTGAGCCTAATAAAAACGCTTCCCCCCAAAACACTACTCTGAGGATATTTTCAGGAATATAACTAAACACAGAATTAAGTAAGGAATTAAAACTGCTTTGTTGATGCTAATCACTTCATCTCCATCCCATACCGGCCGACATAATCTTGGATATCAGGTTACTTAGTTTTAATTTTCAGAACTACTATCTGTTCCTGTCCTGAATGTCAAGGTGATGCTTCTTCATATCAGTAGGAACTTTAGCTTTTTCGAAGCCTTGAGGTCATATAGGTGTTGATTGTCAGCCCTGGCAAATTATTTTTAACACCTCTGGTCTGAGGAAGAAGTGGTCACACAGATATTAATTATAATGTGAGAGAAGAGTAGCCTACAGGGGTTCCACTGAAGACTGGATGTTTTTCCTTTAGGCTCTCAGAATATTTTATCGTTATCATCATTTCAAGCACTATGATTATGGTGAGGATAAGTGCACTTCTCACATGCAGGTCTTGATTGTTGGGGAAAAGAACTCATATGGTGTGATAATGTGTAGGGACTTTCAATTTTATTGAACATGGCCATCACTTCGACAGATGTCTAAACAAGTGGCTTAGATGTCTTAAAGTTGGAGTCTTAACAATGCGAGAAATCATTCCAACGGAGATATAATCTACTGAAATCTGGATCAACGGTGCAACAAGCATCCAATCACAAATTGTGTAACCTGAAAACATTCAAGTCTTTCAATCTATATAAATGAGAAAACAAAAATGTGAGACATCTCCTTTTAAATGCTTACAATATGCATTATTTCAATTTATAATCTGAAACCTATTGAAAAATTACTGCTGTAATAGTATATTACGTTTTATTGTAACTGATTTTCAGATCAAATACCGAATCAGTTAACACTCAGATAATACCTGATAAAAACAAACCTATTGAAGGAGGATTTCTCATCCTATTCAAGTATAATCAATACAGTCTCATACCTGAAAACCCTTCAAATATAACACATTTACAGTCACACATCATGACAGAAATGATGTGGGACGAGCCTTTAAACGGATGGGGGCGACCAACAGCCTCTGGTTTGTTTGATGTAATCCTTATTGTGGCCACTGGGTGTCGCTGTACAGTCGCACAGCCTGCGATAGGGGGCGGGGGTTGGGGGGGTGGGGGGGGGGACATGACCATTGGGCAAGCGGCTTGGGTCAGGTGGAAAAGAATGGGTGATTGGTTTTGCGAGCCGGCTTTCCTCGCATCTGATTGGACAGAAAGGTGTCGGCGAAAAAGAGGCTGAGTAGAGAGAGAGAGAGAGAGAGAGAGCAGACATCCAGCAGGGGTTTATTCCCCCCCAGTCCCCGTAGACTCTGCCGGTGCGACGCGCGCGAACTGTGGACTGAGATGTGACTGCTCACCGGAGGAATACTGCCGGATTTTTTTTTGTGGGATTTCTTTCTTTCTTTTTTAATTTGCAAATCATGGGAGAAGCCTGGCGGGGAGCTGGTGCGGCCAGATCGTCCACATGGGTTGCGTTGCTTCTCAGTGTGATTACTTCTGTGTGCGCAGTGGAAGGTAGGTGGGCGTTCATCAGGGTAGAGGGGAGAAACCTTGAACTTGTTCATGCACATGCTGTGATTGAGCCGGGCCCCGTCAGACTCAGACAAACTGACTGAACTGTGTACGTTTTGCAGACTTGCCTCAACTTTACCTTAGACTCTTTTGTGCACTTCTTTTTGGAGAAACTTGGGCAGCTTTGTGATCCTGTTCCATGATTGATCAGAGTAAGTTTGCAGGGTGCTGGGGGTGTGAGTTTAGGCAGTAAATCAGTCCTGATAGCCTTCCAGTGGCCCCTTATTGAATACTGACACTTGGAACTGACACATCTTTGTGCAGGTGTGCTGAATACGTGAAAATACAGAGTAATGCTGCTCATTTACCTCATTTATGCTCAAAGTGATGATAACAAAAGCCTTGTTTTCTTGTGATATTACAGACGTAGGTCATGATGAGGTGCTCATACTGTTTAATGTCCGTGTGATGTGAATCTCATTGGTCCAGATGCGTTTTGCAGTGTCAAATATGACCATGTTTCCCCCCCATCTGTGTGCAGGTCCACGGCTCTGCTATCACACAGGCTGAATCATAATTATAGCTCACAGGTGCACAGTGGTCCCATGGTAGCGCCTCCCCCCTCAGCCTCCTCTCGCCCAACACCACCCCCCCCTTTTGTCCTCCTGTTGTTTCCTCAAAAGAGTCATCTTCCCCCCTATCTCCTGCCCAGACATCACCTTCTGTCTCGGTTGTTGCACCCTTCCAAGTATGAACTCCTGCTATCCTCAAAGCGCCACGCGCTGGAGCCCCCGCTGCTCCCTGGTCCCCTGTTGCAGTGGCTGCTGCTCCTCCTGCTGAGCGTGTCACCGCCGCTCTTTGCCTCCGAGCATCCCCGCTCACCCGTTAGTCTCGCGTCTCATCAGGCGTCTCCCAAAGCCTCTGCTTATCTGCCCTCGTCTGTTCTCATCCCAGCTCCTTTTTCTTTCAGGCTGACCCCCTTTTTTTTTCTTTTTTTCCCCCTGCTGCCCTCCTCATTCACAGTTGCTCACAGCTCCCTCAAACCCTTTTGCTTGTTTTGCTCTCACCTGAGCACCTCCTCACACTTCCTCTGACCCGCTTCTCCCTGAGCTCCTTGCCCTTTTTTTTGTGCTCCCATTGAATGATTTGATATTAAAATGTTACCTGCTGCTCTTTTTTTTCTGTGTGTTGGTGCTCATGTACCTTCCAACTAAAAAATCACTGATGCCCTGCATCCCCAAGTGAGGCCTTTGGTTCTTTTCTGCTACTTTACTCATGCATCTGCCTACATTGAGATGCTGTTTATCAGTTTTTTTTACTGTATTAAACCTCTTTTTCTCATGCTGCACCCCCTGTCAGCCTCCACTTCCATGTCATCCTGTGTCTCTCCCCCCACTGTGGCTGCTGCTGCTGCTGTTGCTTATGGAAGCGCTAGATTAGTCGACTGCTGTGTTTTAATGGTGCGTGTAATGACGGGCCCCGTACAGAGTCTCCTCCGTTATAAGACATGTAAATGTGTTGAAGGGGGCAGCTCTTTTTTGATTAAACAGAAATCCCTTTGAGTGAGTGAGTGTGTGTGTGTGTGTGTGTGTTTTTGTGCTTGTTGGGGAGGCAAAGAGTAGGTGGCTTAGTTAGAGAGGTGAAATAATTACTGTAGCCGCAGTGTGGGTGTTGGGTTTTTGTGGTCCTGGTGACCGTTTTATAGTAAATAGGTGCCTCATTAATGAATTTATAAGCTGAACGGAGCCTACCACTGACCTTGTGCTGACACAATTCCTATTATTAACTGCGATCTGTGAAAATTCCTACAGTTAGCCCCCTGAATATTGTTTTAATTACAAAACAGAATGTAGATATACCCAAAAAAGTCCTAATTTCCTCAAATTTGCTAAAAACCTGTTAAGGTTTTCTTTAGTGACTAAAATGTCTTGACTACTATGGTTTAGAAAAAAGGTAAAGTGCTCAGTACAGACTAACTTTATCTCCAATTGACAATTTAATTAACTCTTCAAGTCAAATTAATATTCAAACTGATACTTAAATATCATTAAGCGTTGGGCTGCAACCAGCACATTTTAATTTAGAAAATAATCAAAAGTGCCCATTTTTAATTAGTAGAGCCAAGGGAAGATCTTCACATTTTCTGTTTAGCAAAATGCTTTTCACAACCCAAATATAGCCTCTAACATCACTTAGGTTTGTAACATGATGCTGGAAAAGCCAGCCAGAAAATAAAACCAGCCCCTGCCTGAGGAAAGAAGAAACCGACTCTGCTTCTCAGTATATTTGTGACCGTGGTAAAGAAATCAGTGTTGTGTTTAAGGTCTTAATTACTAAATTTTATTTAGTAGAGTAGATTATCCATTAGTGAATTAGATGAGAACAGTACGTGTTTAGAGTTAAATATGAGATAAAACAAGATATACATTTGGAAGGGGCTACATTGTCTATCCAAAATGGCAACAGTAAAATCACTGAATATTAAAGCTTGGAAATCTGCACAAAGCAGTGGTTGAATTGGAACTTGTGCCCATCTTTTTATATACTTACATTTTTCCCCAGCTAACGCCAAAACAAAGCCTTTAGCCTCATGGAGCAGCGTGTGGAGCAGGTGGGTTTGTATTTTGTTAAATTGCTCCTCTGTCGCATTTATTACCGCCATCTCGGAAAAGCAACAAGAAGCACCTTACTGAAAGTGTGAAGTTTGGTTGAACATTGGAGATGGATCAAATTCAGCCAGCATACTGGGAAACAGAAACAAAACAAAGCTGGGAGCAGGCCTTTCGCTGTGGGCTGTCACTTGTCGTTCAATGCCCTTTCTAATCACAGAAGATTTCCGCCTATTCAGAGTGCCCAAAAGCAGCGCAGTAATCCAGAATTTGACCTTGTAATTCAAGTCTGACCCAGCAGATATTGTTTGGTTTAAGTGCTACATATCCCACAAACAAGCCCTGCGAGGGGTTGCAAAGTCATTTGTGTCTGAACCCAGAACCCAGTCAGCAGCAGCCCAATCAGCCCCGGAAAGTGCTGATTTGCTTCAGTGTTGAGTGTCGAAGGGGCTGGGAAGCCAATTTCTTTTGTTTTTTTTTCCTCTCAATGCAAAAACTGCTAGTTGAATTGTAATTTATAATTCACGTGGATATAATCTGTGTTCTTATCCTTCCATACCTGTAAAAACACATAAAAATGATATGTTTTAGCAGATAACAACCTGAGCATCACAGCCTACACACATACATGTGTGTATGTTTCTTTATCCATCAGGTGACATGTTACCACTATTATTTCTCCCTTGTTTCCTATTCTAACATTTTGTTACAGCCATAAATTTGCTTTTAATATTGAAATAAATAACCTTTCTTCTCTTCTGCTGAGAACCTGTGGGAATATTTACCTTCTCTTAAGGGGGTAAAAGAACCCATGCATATATTTTAAATGGAGTATTGTACACGAGTAGGCAAATTTAGATCAGTCAGTGTCATATAGGACACTACACTGCTACATGCAGGCACACACACTGTCACACACACTGTGAACCTGTACAGTGGCTAGGATGTCATTTCTAACAAAACACACCTAATGTTTAGTAAAATGTGATTATTAAGTTATGTTGGTGTGAAAGTACATCCTTAATTATGAATCTTCACACGTAAGCTGTGAATTTTCACACAGTCAGGTATCCCGTTTGGAAATAAAGGAAGAACTTCTTGGTCTACTACACTAAATCGGCGGTGATGTGAAAATACATATTTCATGTAGAGCATTTCTAACCACGTGTGGGTTAGAACCCTCTGTCTGATAGCCGTACACAGTCTAATGCTGCCTCAGTCTCTCACTGACTGTAGGCTTGTGCATGTATTTTTGTCATCGTTGCTGTCACTGAATTAATCTGATTTAGCAGCAGATGTATCACATGTGCATTCATCTAATATCCTAAAGAAAGAAGTTTATCTGCTGGAGAACCTGTGACAGTAACAAGTTTTGATTTCAAATAAACATTTAAGGCCACTTTGTATTCATAAAATGTTTACTGAAGAAGTGAGATGAAACTCACACTGTTGGATACATCATTTTCATTATGTATCCAACAGAACTGAGGCCTTCCTTCTTTATGTTGTCATCTGGACATGATGGAAGTTATTCCTAACTAGTCTGTTTACAGCAGAGAGTTGTTGACATTGCAGTTTACGACTCCAGGAAATGGTCCCGTGATTTCGACTTTAAAATGATTTTGACTTGCTGTGCATACATATGTTCCCACAATTCTTAGTGAATAATTTCTGGGCATTTCTGCTTTTGTGGAATAACTAAAGGTAACAAAGTATTTCCGTATTTTAAAATGAATGGTTTTTACTATTTAATTCCAGGGCACAACCTTTAAGAATTCTATGCATTTCATGGACTCCTAACAGTGTTGTTGTTTATTATGAGGGTGGATAAAAATACCATCTGCCTTTTAAATGCCATTTTCATACTTTCATAGATCCAGAGGTGGTCTTAAACATCCGCCCTGTGCGAAGGGAGCGCTGAATACTAATTAAGACTGTACTTAAATTAAAGTATTTTAGGGGCAACTGGAAGTGGGGAAAGAAAATGCCTTCATTTTATTTGATTTAACATTTAAAGAGTTCTTCCTGTGCTTTATTAAGTTTCATGTCATAGAAAATATTTAAACCAACACATGGCCAGCATTTAAGCTTGTTCCATCTAATAAAGGTTTGTTTGTAAAAGATAGACCAGACCTGAAGCATGACACGACAAAGTTTCCAGACCTGTGCTGAATGAATGCCATACCATGCCACGGATATGAATATAGATATGTGAGTCAGCATTCCGACTGTCTTTATTGCAGACATTTCCCAACACTTTCCTCACTAGCTTCGTTGTTGGCATATTTGAAAAAAAAGCGTTAATTTATTTAAACTGCAAAGAGACACAGATGGATGCAGATCATCAAAAGCCTAACCACCCAAACAAGCTCGACTACATTAAATAGATTGTAG